GGGCAGTGTCACTGGCCCTCATATGTGGGATCCGAACCGGGGCCCTCTGGCATCCCAAGCGAGTTCTTAACCATCGCGCCACTCGGTCGGCCCTGTATTGCCATAGTCTTCATTCAAAAAGGAACATACACTCAGATCTTCCTTATAAAGGTGATTCATAGTAATGTTATTAAATAAAGACATGCTTTGGATTGTTATAATAATGCATGTAGTAAAAATAATCCTTTTGGTCAAGGAGCTGCTCATTACTGCCCTAAGCCACGCCCCCATGGCCAGCCTACTCTCTATCAGAAATCAAAAAATAGGGACCAGGATGTAACGCACATCACTGTGAGACATCAAGAGCCATTTCAGGCACTTGAGTTCTCTGCCTGCCTGGCCTCATCCTTCTCTCCGCCTTCACTGACTTCTGCCTAAACACTGATGCAGAAGGCCATGTACTTAAAATATATGAACACAACACAGCTAACGCAACATTATACAAAGCCAGGTTTCAGTAAATTAGTTCATTCTGCCAAGGCTGTCAAAGAAACTTTGTCTTTGAATATGTAATCAGTGCTGATTCTCAGAAGCGTATGTTAAATAATACTTTGAAGCATATGAAGGCACCATGCTAACTATAATAGAGGGCTCAACAATTCTTTCACAGCAAGAAATAATCTGGAAAGGATTGTAAGGGCATAACAAATCAATGAGTTTTTAAAAACATTAATTCAAGGAAAGGCATGGGTAAACTTATGAATGTGAAAGAAGCACACCTTCCACTCAATGAAACAGAGGCTCTGGGGGAGTCATCACAACTTGCTGTCCTTTATTCACAGACATGATGCTTACATAAATACTCTGGATATAGCATCAAGAATAAGAGTGTGGACTCTGGAACCCAACTGCCTGGGTATGCACCCCAGTTTGGACACTAACAAGCTTCATGACCCTGGCTAGTAGTCGAACCACCCTGTGCCTCACTGTGCCGCATCTGTAAAACGGGATCATAACAGCACTTCTCTTCCTATGCAGTTCTGAGAGTGAATTGATAGAAAGAGAACACAGATCAGTACCCGGCTTAGCATGCTCACTGTGTTAGTGATGATGATGGTGCTAGTGGTGGGAGATGACACAGCTCCGGTCACACACTTGCTTCTCTTTCTCTGCTCTACAGACAGTGACAACTATGTTACTTTCAGCCTTTACTTAAACTCTCTGAGCCTCCATTTTCTCCTCTGTAACATGAAAGTACCTACCCCATAGGGTTCTTGTGAGTTAATTAAGTAAAATAATTATGTTAAGTGCTTAACTCAGAAACCAGTACATGATACATACTCAACAAATGTTAACTATTATTAGTACTCCATCCTGTCATCATTGGACTTGATATTTTCAAATTTATTGAAGTCCAGTGCTTCTTGGCTTCCTTTTGTGTTATTTTCTCTCTTCTATTAGGAACTTTTCTTCACATCTTGATAATGAGAACAAAGAAAGGCTTTCATCCAAACCTGTCATTTTCTCCTTCAGTATGTTAATGAGCCTGAGTTCAGCACACAAGCAGCTGGCCTTTCATCTGAGAAACGCTAGGGCTGCACATATGTGGAACCATGTCAGCTGCTGTGAGTCTTAGTGAGGATGAAAATCTTGGGTCGGTCTCCTTGGAAATTGCCTCTTAATCAACAGTCATCCAGGATCTTAGAAGCCCCTAATTTTATCATTTGTCTCTTGAATTCTCCCTTCATGTCTGCCTCTCCTTTATTATAAACCAGCACTTACAATGTACTGCAAATTATAGACAATTATTACCAACCTACCATAAAGACCAGATTGCAACTATACCATAAACTTATGATTCCAAAAAAAATGATCTCTATTGGCTCTAGAGAATGACATAGGATGATTTCCTTAAATATATAGATTTCTGGGCCCTACTCCAGAACTATTTAATCAAAATCTCTATGATAGGGTCTAAAAATTTGCATTTTGATAAGCCCCCCCAGATTTGGAAACCACTATGTTAATTAATCATAACGAAGCAAGTAGAGCTTTATGAAACAGTTTAATAAGGCTTAATAATTAAATTCTAACCTCACTAACACAAATAGATAAGGCGCAATTATTTTTCTTTAACATGGGGATTAAATTACAGACATCAAAAGATTATCTGATTTAGGCTTTCACATTTCTGTAAACACTCCTGATAAATAACTCTAATCCAGAAGTTCTAGTCTAAAATGCAAATCCTTACTGTGAATATAGCCCATTTGTTTTCGTTCTAGAAATGGCTTATAATGAGCCATTATTTTCCCTATACCCTTAAATAGTAATGAAGATATTGAGGTTATTTAACTCTTCTCCAAATTAAATAATCTACACATGCCAGTCAAAGAGAGCACTATTGTTTTACCTGTCCTAATAAGAGGAATTCTCCCTTCCTCTTCAAAGTTGCATCAATTACAAAGCTGCAGAGTTCTCAGGTTGAGGGTCATGGATGGACTTCAGTGGGTCCTGAGTCTCCTGATAACATACATGCAATAGTGTGTATACCTGTGCACATTTTTCTGAGAGAAGATCCATAGCTTTCATCAACGTTCTAAGATCTGTTACCTTCACTGACCGGCCTATTTAATCCTGATATATAGTTAAAAATTATTTTTGACTAGTGTCAATATCTATTATCCTATCCATTATTCTAGTGTTACAGCAGCTAGTGTTCATTCACACAGGGATTATTAAATATTTATTAGTCAACTGAATACAGTGAATGTGAAATAGATTCAGATTCATTAACGACCCTATAAAGATGTTCTTCCAACCTGAAAGTGCCTTACACTGTCAGTACAGCTAGCTTCTTGCTAGTTCAACTTTTCTTTCTTGTTTTTTTAATTGCATGAGATTTTTCAAACCGAAGTCCATAGGAGGAAAATGAGTTTACTGCAATAATTTAAAAATTATTTTACTGTCAAAAAAAAGCCATCACTTTTTTGGAACCTAGTTAGCCTTACTTTCCAATATACACATGGCTCATGGCTCCAAAAGCCTTTATCATAACTACTTTATTACATGCAGGGTATATGTATTGACTAGATGTTGCATGGTGCTATACTAAGCAGATTATATTTTATCTGCTGTATTAATAGGAGTGAAATTATACAATATGTATTCTACACATGGTTTCCACTGTAATTGCCTTGAAACTGATGATATGTTGACTGACAGGAAGCTGTCTCTCTGTAAAATAAACACATTTAACTATTTGTATTTGCTAAATGTTTCTCTAAATATAGCATTGCCATGTTTTCAGCCAAAAACATATTTCAGCAGTTCCTCATAACAAAGTATTTCTTATCCATATAAAAGAGAAGTGGTTTGAAATGAACAGCTTCAGGCATTAATACGTATTATGATCATTTAACAAAGTTGTTTTCAGCACATGATTATAAAAACCACAAAAACCTAATGTCAGCATTCCACAATTTTTGTTGAAAAAGAATATTTTTTTGATAAAGGAAACAAAGGACTTCTGAGACAGTGTGGTAGAGTGTGAGGTAGAGGGTGGAATATAAAATCTAGTTGCCAGGCATTATACCGGCCAGTTTACGTATGTTATCTTACTCCTATTAATCCATGGAGTAGTTATTTTTGTCCCCTTTTTGAAGGTGAAAAGATTGGCACTCAGCTTGATTTGGGTTATCTAGCCATTATGTAGGAGACATTGTAATTGACCTCAGACCCACCTGACTTCATCATCTACTTACACCTTTGCTCTCTGCTGGGTACATATCACTCTGCAAAAAGCATGGAAATCCCTGCCGTGTTAGTTGAGCTACATGGTTATTCAGTATAAAGCATCTAGCATTCATTCATTCATTTCTTCATTCACTACACCATTTTAGTTCCTATTTGTGTAATAGTAGACAGAAGTACTTGGGGGAAGAATGAAAATTAAATCTAAGGAAGAAAATTACCATTTTCTTACAATGAGAAAATATTAGTGCATGCTGAGAATGGTGCTTGTCAGTGAGGACCAAGTTGAAAAGTAAATTCTTGACCTTTCAAAACTGAGCCCATTTTTTTCACCATGAGGAATTATTCCATGCTTTTAGCTTCAAGAAATGTTTGGAAATAAAATCCAAACTTGCCTATCTTTTATCATTTTAAAAATCCTATTTATGGTTGATGTCCGTATTTATTTGAAAGTACATTGTAAACAAACTCTGAATAAGAGCTGAAGGAAATGAGTGAAATTACAATACATTTCAGTATCCCAAACAGCTCCATAAATTATTCATTGAACTGCCTTCTTTGTTTATATTTATTTAATATTGGGGTAGAAAAGACCTGTTTTTCCTTCAGCTTTATTGAGGTATATTTGACCAAAAAAAAATTATATGTATTGAATGTGTACAATGAGATGATTTGGTATACATATACACTGTGCAAAGTATACCATAATCAAGTTAATTAACACATCTGTCACCTAACATAGTTACCTTTTGCGTTTGTGTGGTGAGTACACTTAAGATCTACTTGCTCAGCAAGTTTCAAGTATACGATATAATACTGTTAACTGTACTCACATGCTGTACATTAGATCCCCAGAACTTATTCCTCTTTTAACTGAAAGTTTGTACCCTTTGACCAACATCTTCCCATTTCTCCCACCCTCCAGCCCCTGGCAACCACCATTCTACTCTACTGCTATGAATTCAACTGTTTTAGATTCCACATATAAGTGAGATCATACAGGATATGTCTTGTTTGGAAAGACGTTTCTGAGGATACATGCAAATGCAAAATCCCTGAGGAGAAAAAGAGATAAATGAGACAACATAAATATTATAAACTTCTCCGCATAAAAATAAAAACCCCACGGAAAGCAAAATTAAATGGCACATATTAAACAGGAGAAAGTATCTACGATATATGACAAACAGCTAATAGGCTCCTATAAAGATGTCTATCAAGTAAATGTTAAAAGTGTGAGTAGAGAAAAACAGTACATAATAAGCAACTGAAAAGAAAAGTTAGAAATGACTAATAAATTTTTTTAAAGATTTTAAGCTCCAGTAAAATATAGCAAAAGAGTATTTTATTATTTATTTCATTTAAAAATGAAACAGGTGATATTCTCTTGCATTAGGGTGCCTGTGAAGAAGCAGGTGTCCTAGTATCAGGTTTGGGGGAGACATAATTGTGCAAAATACCTGTGACACTTGGGCACACTCCAAAGCATCCATATCTTTTGCCCTAGTAGTTTTACTTCTAGAAATTTATACTAATAATAAGCAAATGCACCAAGATATACCTACAATGATATTTATTATAGTATTATTTCTAATAGCAAAAGATAGAAATGAGTCAATTATCCAATAATTGAAGGTTGATTAAATATATTATGATATAAGAAAATGCTATGCCATCATTTGAAAATAGTTAATGCAATGAGAAGAGAGTTAATGGTATTTATGCTATACAAATTTTTGGTGTGCTCCTGTATCTTATATATTTTAACGCAAGATTCTATTTGTGTTTAAAAGAAAATACAACAAAGAATGGAAAAACACCGTGTGTGTGTGTGTGTGTGTGTGTGTGTGTATAGTTGTCTACTCCAAAATGGTGAGATGTAGATTTTTTTTTATTTTTCTCTCTATGCTTTTCTTTTTTATTTTTTGATCTTAAAAATTGAATTGGTTACTTTGTGTTTTCTAAATGTTACTTTAAAAATGAGAGAATAACTGTCTTCCTGTTTTATCTATTCTTCCAATTTTTATATGAAGTTTTTCCCTTTCTTCAAGGTTGTATTTTCACTATTCAAGTTCGCACTAAGAAGCACGGCCATTTCAGACGGCTGGGAAACCCCGAGGGCCACCCAGACGCTGGGCACAGCGTTGGCCAGTGTGATGGTTCTCCGTGTAGTTTAATGACATGTGGCAATGGTGGAACATGTATAGACAGTGGATCTACTGTTTAGTAAGTATGACATTAGGAAAGAACGTAGCCGGTTATTTGGATTCTAACTGGTATACTTCACTTGTACAAACTAGGAGCACAACTGATGTTCTTAAAATGGTCTTATGTAGACTTGCTGGATGACTGGCAGAGAGATGAAGGCAACTAGAGAAGGAGAGCACAGCATTTGTGCCTCTTCTCAATTCTTTTAAACCATGAAAATGAATTACTATGCCATTTCAGGCACCGGGGAAAATACATCTTAAATTCATGGTATTGAGAGTGTTACCAGAAATGTTGATCACACAAGGGTTTATATATTGGGATTTGCTTTTATATTTAGGTTTTAGCTCCTTTAGAAAGGGCCCTCTCTAGATAGGCGGTAGCAAAGCTGCACGATTGAACTACTTTAGTATGAAACAATAATGTGAACAAGGTGAGTGGGAAGAAAAGAATCAAGGAAGGTTGTCTTATAAATAACTTCTTTTGTTGAGCATCTCCTCAATGCATAAGCGGTCTATGAAGGGTTCAGGTTATGCCAAAAAGAAGTGAGCCTTCTGTCCTTCAATTTCTTACATTCTAGCTATTCATAAATGACTTACATCTCATATATGCATGAGAAAAGTGATTTGTCAAGGTTTTTCCCACAGAACACCTCAGACATATGACGCACCTCACTACTAACACTGCAAAGCAATTGGGGAAACAGGGTACCAGAGTCTCCCCTGAAAGATAAGGGCAGAAAAGCATGTAGTTTTAAAAGTCATGAGTGAATCCCTTACCCTCCCTGAACAATTTTCCTCCACCTCCTCACTAGAAAATGATCAAAAGCCAAGTGCACAGTTCAAACAACTAATCACAGTGCATTGGGCTGATAAGAAAACACTTCATGGGGCAAGTGAGGAGATGGTATTAGATCTTCCTACATCTTACCCCAAACTCTCCAAGGGCAGATATCCTAGTCCCAACTTAATGGATGGGAAACTAACCCCCAGAGATTGTGAGTGAATCAAGAGGATGTACAAGCTCCTTATAAGTAGTAGAGTGGGACCCCACACTAAATCTTCCAGTCACTGGGTCAAGAGTCTCTACAGAACCTAAATAGTAAGAAATGAGTTTAAAAGCAGCTAACAATTTAAATAAGATGACCAAAGTATTAAGTATTTGTTATATGCTGGATGTAATCTATTCATTTATTCTTAATTTAAAAAACAAAATGTTGATGTTATCTTCAATTGGCATTTCATACTTTTTTTTTAAAGAAATATATTGAGGAATCGGGGAAGGGGAACAGACAAGTTGCTGTCGTTTTTGTTCTTCAGTCTAGTTGTGGAGGACATTGCTTCACTGGCCCATGTTGGTATTATCATTGTGCTCTTCCCGGTTGAGGCAGATCGGTCGCCGGCCTCTGGACAGCCGCTCACAGCAGCTCTTGGCAGCTCACGTTGGCTGCCGGCCACTCATGGTAGCTTAGGGCAGCCCACTGCAGCTCCACTGCAGCCTACACCATCGCCGGTGACTCACGGCAGCCCAGCTCCAGGTTGAGCTGTTGATCACCATCTTAGCTGTGGAGGGCAGTGTCACTGGCCCTCATATGGGATCCGAACTGGGCCCTGCTCCTCAGAGCCGGCATCCCAAGCCAGCTCTTAAGTAATGTGCCACTCGGCCGGCCCTTGACATTTCATATTTTCTCCAAATTGGAAGTACCTTGCCACATACTACACCCCCTGGGGATTTCATAAGTTCCTGTGTGGGTGGAAAGCTGTCTCTCACAGGCTAGCATGAGAACCTTGATTTGAATAACAAATAGACTTGAGTAATAATGTACAACGGGAAGCATGCCTCTCACAAGTTTCCTGACAGGATTCAAAAATCTTATCAAAATTGTGACCAGTGTGTGAGATTGTCTTACTGATATAACAACAAAATATTTACTGTATCAACACCATGGGAAGCGCTCTGCAGAATCAGAAGCAGCTCTTGTGACTATTACATAATGACATTAAAATTATGGCTCCCTGAACTTAAAAGAGGTGAATTTTGTGGCATGTAAATTATACCTCAAAAAAGCTGTTTAAAAACAAGAAGATTCCCACTCATGGACATTCAGCTTCAGCAGCAGCAGAAGTTTAAGGAGAATTTTATTCCTTTTGACACTTTTTGTATTTCTGCTCTAATCTCAATAATAAGAATCCCTTGTTTAACAGAAAAAGATGTGTTCTTTGTAATATACTTTTCAATAGTGTTTAAGAAGTTTTCCTCTATCCTTGTCCTAGTCCCAGGCTCCCAATGTTATATGGCTCTACACTTTTATTTTGCCTGAAGATTTATTTTGCCTAATATTATCTGAAGCAGAGTAATATTAAACTGAATTTCCAGGTAACATTATAGACAGCTCAAAGCTTAAAATTCAATCTTTTCTTGAAAAATAACTAACACATGATAAAATATTTTTTTAAATGCTCAAGAAGCAAGTCTCAACCCAGAAGCATAAATTTAATAGAACAGAATCAATTTTAAAAACAAAAATCTCAAAGCTGGTCAAAGTGTTTTAAAGCTTAATGGTATAAATTAATAAAAACAAAAACATAAAATGCTCACTTTAGTTCCGCTCCTCACAGCTGAGGATGGAAGGCGTTGCTTTGGTCCATAAGGGGAAGTTTTGTGCCAAGTAAGGAGGGAGGTGGGGCTTCATAAGGCCTTTGGACCCTGAGCTGGGCTCTAATAAGCTTAACAGCCTTGCTTTCCTGCTCCAAGTACGTCAGCAAACACAGATCCAACTGTGCTCTCATTCAATTTCTTAAATGAGAGTCTAATAAGGTAGAGTTCATGTAAGGCCTTTATGCTCCTGGGATGAGCTCTGATGCAAGAGAGAAACAGTAAATGATTTCTGTTGTTAGTCGGTAGCCTAGATTGAAATTTAAAAAAAATTTTAAAAGGTTTGTTTAGTTATAACTTAGCCCTATATGTACATTTGTTTGGTACAAAGTGGTTTTTAAGGAAATTTGACTTCATTTAAGTTGTACTTTGCTTGACTTTAAAGTGATATCCTAACTGTGACTGAAAGTGACGTGCAGATGTCTTCCTTTGAGAAAAGCACAGTGTAGGAAACCCACAAGTCACAGAAGCAAGTTAGATGTAAAATGAGCAGCACAGACAATACGCGTAATAAGAGCTCAGAGAAAGTGGATATAAAATGTGAAATGCACCAGAGATTTATACCAAGTTCATCAGTGAGGCTTATTTGTAACATAACTATCAGTGAGCACACAATTTCCCTGACCCAGAGTTTTCTAATTACTTTTTGGCTCACAGATGCCTTCGAGAATCAGGTGAAAGTCCAAAGATCTTTCCAAGATTAGTGCAGATTCCGGAAAGAAAGTGTGTGTCCTCAAAGCCTCCTTTTGATTCCCTACAGACAATATACCATGTATACCTAAAAGTGACAATCAATTTTTTTATTTTTACTGAAGGAGCAAAGTCTTTCACACTTTGAGATGGATCTGACTATTTACATTGAGGGCAGGAGATGGGTGCAGATATGGGATGGAAAGTTTCTGTCCCGGCCACCTAAACCACTTTCAACCTGTGTTTTGGTTCTCCCACCATCACAGTAAATACATGGCCCCTCCAACCCCCCTCTATCTTCTTGTCATTGCTTTATTTTGCTCCAGCTGACTCTCTAGGAACAAACTAATTTCTCTCCTATTCGCAGGCAAAGCAATGTAGTAACTGTATCTTCTTTTTATAGTCCAGGCTCATACTGGCATCAATGCAACGAGGGTCCACCATCTACTCCCAGCAGCTCGTCTAAATGATTTCCTCAATCAGCTCCTCCTCTAAGAGAAACTGAGTCCAACTGTTGCCATAATACAATGGTTAGGCCCTTAACCTGGAGAACAGAAAGAACCATGAGGATTGAGGCCCACAGACAAGTGCCAGTACCGTTGTTGATATGGAAGGAGTGATTCCATCTCATCCTTCTTATCCTCTCTGAGGAATCAGCAAAGAGTTTGGTGAGTGATCTCACCAGCAAAGAGAAGAGGGCCATGGGAAACATCAGCAACCCTGCTTTGGAGGCACGCTGAGTCCTGACATGCCGTCACTTTCCAGGGCACCGTGAGGCTCATTGGTTTTAGCGCTTGTTTGTGTATCCTTCTAAGGCTCAGTTTTTGAGGATGTCATTTGACATCCAGTAAATGTTGGCAGGTAAAATGATATCCATCAGATCACACTTACTTCATTCTCCCAACTTGTTACTCAAATGGAAATAAATCATAAAGAAAAGCAATTTGACACGAATGAAGTCATCCAACACAACAGATGTGCTAAGGAGAAGGAGATTCAAATATGTTTTCCTTTAAATAGCAGGGAAATACATATGCAGAATTGGAGTCCTTTATGATGGGATCATCTATCGCTAAGGAACACACATTTCATTACTCATATGACTTTATTATCACATCACATTGATTTCATTTTAAGTTCTATATCTGTGCTTTTGCTTACATAGAAAACCAACAAATTCGTAACCATAACTTTCTTACAGATCCAGGTGGAGGTAAATTTTCACCAAGAGCTTTCCCTTTCTGCTCTCATTTCATGATGATTCTAATACTTTGCCCTCATTCGCCTCATACATTGAAAAGAATCTCTCTTATCCAGAGCAATAAGAATCTATATTTGATAGGTAAACTGAAAAAGGTAGATTAAACAGAGGTTATATTTTTCTAAGGCACACTTTCTCATCTGCACACTTTTGAAAACTGTTAATTGCAGTGTTATTATGGGGATTAAATAAGCTACTACATATAAAGTACTTAAAACACAGTGCCTGGCACTAAGGTGAAGTCCTAATAAACTTTAAATATTATATTTTTACATATGTCATATATATTTCAAGTAAATACATTGTTATAAATAAGTTACCATAAAGTCTATGGTGGGGTGGGGGCAAAACTATGTTTTCTGTTTTGTATTCACCCTGGAAACAAAGTAGAGTGGTGCTTGTACTTCATTTT